ATGTAAAAGCAATAACATTTTAAATACACCAAAAAAAAAAAATTGTTCATATTTTACGTAGTGTTAGATTAGGACTGTACATATACATCACTCCCTTGACGAACTGAGTTTTTGTCAATATTCTGTCTAACTATACACTATTTTGTTTGGCGTTATTAAATCTATAAAATCATACAATACAACATATATTACAAATCTTCTTTTCATTACTATTGTAGTTTAAATTACCAGCGTTTACTTGCATTTTGAACAATCAGATAAGAAAAATAAATGGAGTGCTGCCTATATTTTAGTGACGCAAAAGCCACGCTCAGCTTTTTGATACTCAGGTACATACGCGTACATCCATCTTCTGTGCTTCTTTATCAGTCCGTAATAGTTCACAGCTGGACGCACACATATGCACCTAAAATCTTGTTGTTGGTTGCAAACGATTTTAGATGTATATGTGTGCGTCAGTGCGTATTCTTACAGTACATTGAGCATGGCTTCGACTAGGTTTTTGCGTTTACTTGAAATGTACGCAGCGCTCCGTCTTTCTTTGCTGGTCTCACTTTTTGCTTTTTTACTACTTTGACTTTGCGTTAAAAAAAACAATCGTTAAAATATTCAAATCCTCGCCACAATGGTAGAGCTAGAGTCTCAAACATAATATAAAATATAATAATTGAGAAAGGTTGGTTATTACCTTTTACATATTTTCCTAGATTTGCATATAATTTATAAACACGAAAATAAATACATATAATGTCTGATATCTTGAATCAATTGCGTAGTAAATTTTCTTTATTTTCGTAGATATACTTACAGCTTGCCTAATGCTCATTTCAGAGAAGTTGTAATTTTTTATATTTACGGCACTAAGCGGTAAATTTTACAAGTTAATTAAATTATACAATGGGTCAACAAAAACTTATGGTTGAAGTGATAGTTGTTTCATTATAATTAACACGATGAGAAATATACTAGTTCTCTGTAGAATTTGTCCTTCCGAAGGGATCATGAAGATTATATTATAATACTATCTCCGACATTCTTCAACGATTTCACTACGTAACCGATCTCGCATTGAAATATTCGCAACTATTGTAACTTACAGTTTGTACGAGTAAATTTCATTGTAAAAATGAGACTCATAGGAAATTATCACGCAGAAAACTTGTTCGGCTTAAATGTATCAGTTATTTGTGATAAGTATCGATGTCATACGCAAATCTTGTAACTCCTACACTTAATTATATCAAAAACAATGCAGTGCGGACTGCCGAGTAAAATTGCAAACAATGATTTGTATTATGACACTGTTAATAACTTTTTGCATGTAGATCGCCCAATGCTAAACAATTACTTCATTATAAAAATATGTGACAGTTAAATGTTTTCGGTTGCTTATTATGGCCTTCAAAGATAGCCGGCAAATTTATTGCAATTATATCATTCAGCTATGGGATTTTGCAGGAGATTTAACATGTTCCACCAACGGGTTCCTAGCTGTGGCGTGGTCACCCTACTAATCTTTTTTAACAAGAGCCTACAATTTCACTGGTTTTGCAGTTATTTTTGGGTGGTGGTAGTCACTTACCATCAGGCGAGCCGCATGCACGTTTGTCCCCTCTCCTATAAAAAAAAAACCTTAATTAAAAGTCTCACGTAAGTAACTTATTATGGTGAGGGGGGTTCTTACGATTTTGTGTGAGCTTGAAAATGTTAATGAACTCTCTAATTTTTTTTACGTACGTATGATTTAAACTTAAAAAGCTTAATGTAATCATTAAACTAAAATACCTAGCATTAAATGTTTTATACTTTAGCCAAGGTTCTGATTTCTGGGAATCTCGCATCGGTTAGCATTCCTAATCATTAAATAATATCAAAGGCAGAGGATCAAATTCTAAAAAAATGTCCGGACATCCGCTTAGTACATACAACTGTGATATGATTTACGCATCTACATATTTAGAAATATGACGAGGCGTTTACATAATTTGTTTTTCATAGAAGACCTTGTTTGAAATTAACCTTTGTTTAAATGCTACATAAAATAAGAATCGAAATTAAGAAAAAAGTGATAAATCTGAAGTTTTTGTTAATCCAAAAAGCTGTATATTATTTTATATACAAATTTAATAATTGGGAAATGCGGACAGTAATATCACTTTTACGTAGTTTTTATAACTTCTTAATAATATGTATAAAATCTAGTATGACAACAAATGTAATGTATTTGTAAGCATATCAATATTATTCTATCCACGTATTATTATTGTATTGTTGTTGTTACGTTTTGTCAATTATGACAGACAAAGGTCTTAGACCATACAGCCTAGTCTGATGTATATTTTATTCACTAAATTCGTCACAATATGCTAATGCATCATTGTGAAGCTTTTGAAGATTTTGATGACAGTTTAACCTTGCGGACAGTTGATGATAATAATATCTCACACTATACTTCAATCGATACACTTGTATCATCATATCCACTAATAACTTCTATGCGCAGGCATGAAATACACAAAATTGCACTACTTTTATGTATAAAGACTCACTTCAAACAAACAAACAAAAACTGTAACAACAATCCGCCGCAGGTTAAGTTCCCACCAAAACTTATATCTGTCACAATCAAAACTCAATCGGTCGAAACCACTTTTGACTGCGAAAATCAGGCAAAAATGGTTTTGACCGATGCCTTTAGTCAAAAACAGTTTTGAATGATTTTTGTAGTCAAAAGTGTGTTTAACCAACGCTCTTGGTCAAAAGTGGTTTTGTCTGATTTAAAATTCAGACTATCGGTCAAGTCGCAATATCAATAACAGTAGATTAAGGTGCGGCTGGGGGAGCCCTTGAGCCACCGTAAAGCCATTATAATGATATAAAATATAATATTGAAGGAATTGAACGTTTAAATTTTAAAAATTCATAAAGTATAATTCAAAAGTGGTCTTGACTAATATTTTTGGGCAAAACTACTTTTAACCGATGTAATTTGGTCAAAATCACTATTACCCAATATTTTTTGCAGTTAAAAATGGTTTTAACCAACGTCCTCAGTCAAAACTACTTTCGACTGCAAAAATCAGTAAAAAGTGGTATTGACCAAAATTCTTAGTCAAAATTACTTTTGCCCGACTTTTTGCAGCCAAAAGTGGTTTTGACCAGTTATGAGCTTTGACTGTAACATATCCATTACTTTCAGATTCATTACAGTTTCTTTTTTAATTTCTTAACTATTGTCGATTTTTGTGTATTCAAACACATAATAACTTATTATAATTTAATTTTAACATAATTATCTACATAATTTAAAACGCGACTAGAAATAAATCACAAACAAACAACAACAACAAATTTGAAGAAATCACCTTTTAATCTCAGACCAACAAAGAAGATAGACGGAGCGTTGGGTACATTTCAAAGTGACGACGAAACTAAGTGAAAATGTGAATAGGCTTAACTTACTATTGTAGTAACTCATCTGGGAAACTATGTAATCCGTACAGAAGAAGTGAAATTGCTCACTGCTAAGCAACTCCATTTATTTGTAGAAGACGTAGGGCTTAGCAGTGAACTATAGACATAGCAGCGATCAAAATAGATTTTTTAGGTCGCAAATCGCAATGATACTGGTCTCTCTCTCTAGACCTGCATAGCAGCTCGCACATAATAAAAAAAAAGACGCACTTCCGTATATATGCATCTTTAACTATCTTTACCAACAAGATGCTTTCAGTAGAAGTAGTGAGCTTTTACGAGCTGTTGAAAGAAGAAAGGTATGTGCGTAAGTACGTGTCAAGAAGTTGAACATGGTTTCGGCGACACTTGAATTGTACAAAACGTTCCGTTTTTCTTTTCTTTGTTTGTCTGAGGTTGCTAGTTGTATATAATTTGTATAGTACATTACTTTAAATGTTAATTATTTAAATAATTCGCAAAATTGATTTGACTGTTGTTCAAAATCAAAAAATAAATATTATTTTTTCATTAAAATAATCGCACAAAGGTACAAAAAGAAGTATCATAAAATGATAAGTATTTTCAAAACCTAGTATATAACTAACCCTAGTTTAACTCTCAAGTATATATTCATAATGTTGAAAATCCCGCAGTATTTGAATTTTGTATAATAATGTATTGTTAGAAATATATTAGGAGGTAATTTTTTCCAAAACAATATAGTGTGGGAACGTGCTTAACTTACTTTTACGCAATTAATCATTTACAGCAAAAAAAAAAAAAACCAGCGTACCGCATATAGGTACATTCAGTATAGCGCAGATATGAATCGACCATACCGCAATACTGCCCGGTCATAAATCACATATTATTGTAACTGCGCGCCGTACTTTATACTGTCGGAACGAGTGGGAACTTCTAATTCTAGATAAAATAGAACAAAGGGAGAGTCTTTGTTGTATTTTCTTCTACATTACACGAGGTTTACAATTTAAGATACACAACATTATTGTATTTCTAGTCTATTCAAATTATTTGGGAAGCTTATATGTATTTAGTTATGCGGAATAAAAAATAGAATTGGAATAATGTTTTACTACACTTTTAGGATAAATAATCTAATAATTCACAACTCTGGATTGACGCATTTCGGAAATATTTTGTGTTTTAAAAATTAATAAAATTGTCAGAACACTTCGTATAATATATACTTAGTACTTACATAATTAAAAATTTTATTAATTGCATCCGACTTTTTAATGCAAACTGGTTATAATTTAATGATGCATTATTTTGTTCAAGACTAAGGTCTTTCTTTTTTTTTTGGTCTGAGAATACAGGAATGAAAATGGATTTTTCATATTTAAATAAAAATCTATTTTATTTTGGACTAAAATATCTGCCATAGATCTGCCAATATAATTATTGTTAAATAGGTAATAATATTTCTGTTTGTTAAATTTGAAATATAATAATAATAATGTAATCCAGACCGAATTTCGGTCACGGCGGCCAGTCTCAACGGAGACTAGCCATCGGCGCAGGACAGGATTATAGACTTATTGTGCACGAGTGTATGCGCAAGCACGGGTGCACTCTATTCCCTCACTCTCATAGTCCGTTGGAACGGTAAACCGACACCACCGGAAAGAGATCAGGCGCAGGACCAACGTGCTTTCCGAGGCACGAGAGTTAAACGACGACGAAATACGAACAACGACGACAACAAAACTTCCTAACACGGTAAAAAAGTTTGTTAACAAAGAAAGGTAGAGGGAGCGTTGCGTACTTTTTAGGTGAGGCCAAAAGCAAGTCCAAAACATGCTCAACTTAGTCAACAACACCTACTTACGCACACAAATGCAATTATTAATCAACAAATAAAACCTGCCGAAATAAAAAAAAAAACATGGTTTTAGATGAACGTGTGTGCGTCCAGCAGTGGATATTACAGGCTGTTAAAGTAAGAAGAATATGGACATGTGCGAGAATTGGTGTCAACAACTTGGGCATGGTTTTTGCGTTACTTGAAATGTACGCAGCGCTTCGTCTATCTTATTTATTGGTCTGAGATGACGCCAAAAATATTTAAATCATTTGAAATTGGAATACAAAATTTCTCTACCGTATGCAAACCGTATGGCATTATACAACTTAATTATCAAAAAAGTATAATGAAGTTTCAATTTAGTCACTCTATTTTGACTTTATTTCATTTTATTGATTTACAATCCATGCGCAAAGAGTACAACGGAAAAAATAGATATGTCCCAAACATATGTACTAAAAGTCATAGGTATATAAGTATAAATAAATAAAATAATCTATATGTTTATGTTTAAAAAGTGATGAAAGTATATGCCAGTAGATTCATATCCAGATAAAAATTTTAGTTCGTATATAAAACTCGCTACTAAAGTATGAAATTATAAAACAATTCACACAAACCGTACCTACAAACCGTACGCCGTGCATGTGACTGAATCTTACTTGCACACAAAGGCTGTTTTATTTTCATCTTTTTTTTTTAATTTACACTTATACCTAACAGATTAAATAATTACAAGTACTTATATAGTTTCAGAATCAAAAAAATTTCTTAAAAAATTTATGGCCAGAATGCAATTAGGTAAACTTTATAAAATTAATTCCAGTTTTAGCAACAATGTTATTTTAGACTAATTTCAATATAGGCCTATCAAGATTTTGGTCACATCACGGAGTACGACAACATTATTACTTACTACGACACCTAAGTATATAATATTCTCTCTTCAATTGGAAACTTCATACAAAAAGCCTTTGACAACTCAACGAAATAAACTACAGAATATATTTTAAGCGATTCCTTATATTACAGTTTCAAAAGCACAAAAATCACGCGACTTAACGCTTCACTTAGCAAACTTTGATAATAAGTAACTACAAAACTTTGAAACTTTGATATTACGTTTTAAAAACGGCAAAACAAGCGTTTTGTAGATAACGAAAAGAATTCGTTTTTCTTTTCATTTCGACTTAATTGAGATCTTTTTGTATTATATACTTAAATAATATAAATTAAAGGTTACCTAGGCTAAAGTAAAAATATTAGAGTTACACTTTTTAAATAAAAATCGGCAAAAAATATAGGTACTAAGTTCATTAGTACAAAAAAAATTGAAATTGGTTTAAATTTATCAACAAAGTTTCTTAGGTGGCGAAGGCCACGTATAATTTTAAAAATACGAACAACGATTGTCTAATGCTCTTGGTCTGATGACTCCACGTTCTCAGTTTGTGCGAATTTCAGGAACACCTGCTCCAACGTGGTCTGACTAAAGCTGTACTCCACTATGTTCAACTTTTCTTTTGCTGTGAAAGAAAAAAAAACAATCAAGTATTTGGCGGGAATATGTATGTACGTGTTTCGTACGTGTACTTTATCGTCGCGCACGATACGAATAACATTGTATTACTGGCATATAGGTAGAGGTATTTCAGTTTTGTGAAAGTTTTTCAATTAAGTATATAAAATAAAATAATAGTTCTTCATGGCGGATAACAACGTTTTGACTTGATGGATATGATATCACCTCTACTGGATTTCCGAAGTTGTCCTGTAGTGTAAACACACGTATTTTAATTTTTTTATAGGATAGGATAACAAACGAGCACACAGTCCACTTGATGGTAAGTGGTTGCTGTGGCCCATAGACATCTACATCTATCCTCGTTTGCGAATGAAAATGCTGATGCGTCGTCACCCGTGAGGAGTAAGATGAAATGCCTCTTTTCCAGTTCTACCCCTGTCGAGCCGACCCATTCGTGCTACAACTATACTACTAATATAGCTGCAGCATGGCTCTACCACGTAAATGCCGTATGTGTGTTTCTCCTGCGAAACATTATAAGACTGGAAGATGCTGAATGGATAAAGTCTAAGAAATGCGAAGACAAGACATTCTTATTCGTAAACCACAATATTATGCCTTAGAGCATCCTTACAGATATATAATAAATATTGATATTCTTTTTAATTCATACTTAGTACATGCGACTTTAGGTGATCTAAGTACGATCGAAGTTACTAAAGCTAAGAAAACTAAAGCAGTCACAGACGAAGAAAATAGCCGCTCATATTATGTCTATTTCATCAAATGACATATATGAAGAGATTTTTTTTCTAGTTTGGTACTGTTAATGGATTCTACCAAATTATAATAATAATTTTTAGAACTGTTTTTTTTTTTTATTTGATTATATCTTAATAATGTAAAATATTAATACGATAACTGGCGACGTTTTTGAGAGGGGATTTGTGTAGGTACGGTGGTTTTTAGATATTTCCTTTAGTTTTGAAGTTAGGTAGAGATGCGTCTCTTCGTGATAACCAAGACCGCACTCTGTCAAGAGCGTTACGACGAAGACGAAGAAGGGATGCGATACGTTTGGCACCAGAGAGTGGTTGCGTTTAATAAAGAAAAGTTATAGTCTATATACGCACAGGTCTCCTCTCATTTCTTTGAGTATATTAGGACATGAAATTGTCTACCGCGCCGCCACAAGCGTGTTGGCGGACATCACGAGACTTTGAAATATTGTTTTTAATTTCTCAGACATGCTAGGTTTCCTCACGATGTTTTACTTCAACACCGTTCACATGATAAATCATCAATTAATTTATCAATTGCACCCAACAATTTCATTGGTGTCAGCGAGGATCGAACTCGAGTTGCTCACGTACTGCGACATTTACAACGAGCGCTTTGACCCTGAGTAAAAATTTCCTAGATTATTAAGTGTTGAAATGAATGAAAATATTACATACCATCCTCTATCTGTTGAAAGCATCTCGCTAAACTGGAAACTGAGGACTGTGGTACAGAGAACACGAGCCTCTCGCCAAAGTTCTCTTCGAGAACAGCAGACGGGAAGATTTGTCCCACCAACGCTATCGCAGCTTCAGCACCAACCCCACCGCCACCAGATTCCGTTCTATTAATGAAAAAAAAAGTCATTATACGTTGCAGAGTATTGCTGCAGCTAGATTATGATTGTAGCACGAATGCGTCGGCTCGACCGGGGATGGACCACGCTCTCATAGAATATCAGCGTGGGATAGCAGCTTAACGCTGCTGTGTTTCCTATGGTGAGTGTAGAGAACCGGAGACTCTTTTTACTGGAAATGTGGCATTCCGTCTTAGTCCTCACGGCTGACAACGCATCTGCATTTTGATTTGTAATCGAACATAGATGTAAATGTCTATGGGCCGCAGCAACCACTTACCATCAGGTGGACTGTGTACTCGTTTGTCACCCTTATCGTATAAAAAATAAAACTCATTCGCTGTCCCGTGTACTACATATAGGTCATTGCTATTGTCTTACAAATGTGTCTGAAAATTGGACAGTGAAAGTGTGAATGCTGCGTATTGTGTAGAAAACCAGAGACTTTTTATTACTGGTAAAGAGGCATTCCATTTTAGTCTTCACGGGTGACAACGCATCTGCATTTTGATTCGCCTACGGGGATAAATGTAGATGTCTATGGGCCACAGCAACCACTATTTATTTTTTATAGGATAAGGGTGACAAACGAGCACACAGTCCACCTGATGGTAAGTGGTTGCTGCGGCCCATAGACATATACATCTATCCTCTATTACAAATCAAAATGTAGATGCGTTGTCACCCGTGAGGACTAAGATGGAACGCCTCATTTCCAGTAAAAAGGGCCTCCGGCCACCTGTACTCACCAAGCGAAACACAGAGGTAAACCTCTACTTCACGCTGGTCTTCTGTGAGGTCGTGTTACTACCCCGGTTCGAGCCGGCCCATCCGTGCGACAGCAAAAGCTGCCGCGTGGCTCTACCACAGTTTAAACACTTACCATCAGGTGGACTGTGTGTTCGTTTGTATCCTTATTCTATAAAAAAAAATCCTGTAAAAGTGCATAGCTGTCCAGCCTCTCCCGTTTTAAGAATATTTTTGCCTTACGCTGGACAAGCGGATTTACGACTTTTATGGCTATTGTCCTTGATTAGGAGTACAAACGCAGAAGCTTAGGCATACCTGAGGACAAAGATAGAATGCTTTGTTTACAGTTAAAAGGGCTGTGGTTCTCTACACTCACCATACGAAACACAGCAGCATTAAGCTGCCATTTTACGCTGGTGATCTCTGAGAGTATGGTCCTTCCCCGGTCGAGTCGACCCATTCATGTTACAACCGTAATATATCTCTGCAGCGCGGCTCTAACACGTATAAAGATGCAAAAGAAAGCGGAATAATTATTTATAGCCCATACAAATATTTGTTCCGTATGGGATTAGAACCGCGGCCTACAGCGCCCAAGGTAAACTAGTGACTACGCTACCGAGCTATAAAGTGCGTACGCATTTCGTTGTGTAATCTTTGTTTATACTTCCCCGATAACTTCCGTAAAAATATCCTTTCTAAAAAATTGCGCAATTAATGATTGTATTGTGAAATATTCATATATAAACCAAGACAAATGTTTGCCTTCTGAATTACATTTAGGGAAAACACATTTAGATTCAATACATATGCCAACAATCTTGATTTGTTTGCGAACTGTCAACATTATGGTTAATAACGAAATATTTAACTTTAAATGTTTATTCCGGTTAAATATTTTTTTATGTATTCCTAAATAATGAAGTATTCTACCATAAAAATATGCATTTATATAATAACTTTACCATCTGATATGATGTCATCAAGATAAAAAACCTGTTTACAGTAATCAGATACTGTTTACAATGTAGATAAATGTGTTGAGGACAATCCGATATAATTTTCTGTTATATAAGCATTTGAATTTCTTATTCTGCAATAATTATTAAGGTCACTACGTATATAAGCCTATAAAACAGAACAAAGAAAGATAGACGGAGTGCTGCGTATATTTCAAGATTACAAGTGACGCCGAAACCAAGCCAAACTATGCCTGAACTTACTGCAGGAACACGCACTCACGCACACATAAGCATTTCAAATAATTTGCAATCAACAGTGTTTTTGGTGCCTGTGTATTCGTGAGTGGCAAGAAGTTGAACGTGGTTTCTGTTTCGACGTCACTAGAAATACTTACACCGCTCTGTCTATTTTTCTTCATTAGTCTATGGTCTGGTTAAGAACTTTTTAATGTGAGGCCCAAGTCAGGCCTGCCATCATGGCTGTGAGGCATTCCATCTTAGTCATCATGGGTGACGCATCTGTGCCCAACCACATTCTCTTAGTAGAGCCCCGCTGCAGCTATATTATGGCTGTAGCTCGATTGGGTCAGCTCGACTTTTTTTTATAGAAGAGGGGGCAAACGAGCATGCGGCTCACCTGATGGTAAGTGACTACCGCCGCCCATGCACAACCGCAACACCAGGGGAATTGCAGATGCGTTGCCAGTCTTTTAGAAAGGTGTAAGCTCTTTTCTTGAAGGTTCCTAAGTCGTATCGGTCCGGAAAAATCGCCGGTGGTAATCGATTCCACAAGGAAGTTGTGCGTGGGAGAAAACTTCTTCTAAATCGCACAGTGGTGAACCACCAATCATCCAGATGGTATGGATGGTATCGCAAGTTTTGTCGCGATGTGCGATGGTGAAATTGAGCGGCTGGAATTAGTCCGAATAATTCCTCAGAGCACTCCCTGTGATAGATGCGATAAAATACGCAAAGAGATGCAACATCTCTACGCAGTGCTATTGTATCGAGCCGATCAGAAAGAACTCGGAATCGAACCGCTCTGCGCTGGATGCGGTCAAGTGGAAGGAGTTGGCACTGGGGTGCCCCAGCCCAGAGATGAGAACAGTATTCCATGTGAGGCCGAACTTGCGCTTTATAAAGTTGCAAGCGATGTTCGGCATGAAATACTGTCCAATTTGGCCTTCCCTTGCCTCCACGTGACCACGAAACTGCACACTATTCGATATGTCGACGCCGAGGATTCCGATGTTAGCTGAGGCAGCAAGGGGGAGTGCCTTGAAACTGAGGAGATACGTCAAAGGGGTTCTTTTTAGTGGTAAACGCACAAACTTGTGTCTTCTGGGGATTGAACTGGACTAGATTCAATCCGAGACTTTGTTCAGCAAAGACTCGACTTCAGACACAAGTTTGTCCCGGTACTCAGCGACGTTTTCACGAGAAATATTGGCACGGCCGGTATATAAGGCATTACCAGTGCTGTCTTCTGCATAGCAATGAATGCTACCAGTTTGCAACATATCATTGATATGCAGGAGAAACAGCGTTGTGGAACACCAGTGTTGATAGGCTTGAAATCAGAGCATACAACGTCTACTACGACCTTGATGCACCCATCAGCAAGGAAACTGGTGATCCATTTGCACAATTTCTCGGGAAGCCCATAGGAAGAAAGCTTCGAAAGAAGCGCTTTGTGCCAGACCCGATCGAAGGCCTTCGCTACGTCCAAACTAACGGCCAATGGCTCCCACTTGGACTCTACTGCTACTACTAAATCAGCTGGTGATCCTCAAAGTACCTCATGAGCTGGCAGTTTATAATGGATTCCATTATTTTGGAGAACAAGGAGGCGATGGCGATAGGCCTGTAGTTGGACGGGTTTGAGCGGTCGCCTTTTTTAGGGATCGAGTGGACCAAAGCTGTTTCCATGAATTCGGGACTACGCCTTGGGAGTAGGAGTACCGGAAAAGACGCCTTAAAACCGGTGCCAACTCCGGAGCACACGTCTTCAGCACAATGGGAGGGACTCCATCGGGCCCACTCGACTTGCTGACGTCCAGGGAGAAGAGTGCTTTGCGAACCAAGCGCTGTGTAAACCGCACATTCGGCATGGAACACTCACATCGCGGGATAGTCGGCGGTGTGTTCCTCCGTCATCTAGAGTCGAATTGAACGCAAAGAGAGAGCTCAACAGATCGGCTTTCTCCTTTGCGGCATGGGCCAGTGAGTCGTCCTCTCTGTGCAGAGATGGAATAGATGGCTGACAGAAGTTCTCTTGGACAGCCTTGGCAAGAGACCATAGTGCACGGGTTCCCGAAGGAAGGCGAACTAGCTCCTCACCAATTCTGCCGATGTGCTGACCTTGCCTTGGCAATGACGCTTTTGAAGAACGCTGGTGTTTACATCCCGAGACGTTGATACGTCAGCCCAGGCCCGATAGTACTCCTGCTTATAGCGTGATGCTATTTTACAGGAGCGACCAAACCATGGCTGGGATCTGCCTCCGATGGGCACCACAGAGGACGGAATTAAAAGGTACCACATCAGCAACAGAATCGGCAACAACGCTGGGATTTTCCGGCGAGAAGCAAACCCGCCTCCAAGGGTAGGATGCAGAAAAGCATCCCGTCCCAATCGGTCGACCTGCAGAAACACGGCGGCAAGCTGCAGATCGGAACTGCGACTGGAGCGTAAGTGGCACCGTACTCCGGATCAGACAATGGTCAGAAGAGCCTAGAGGTGCACCGACGGAGACCTGATATCCGTCCGGATGAGAGGTCAGAAGAAGGTCCAACAGGGAAGGTACATGGTCCTCCACATCAGGGATCCGCGTAGGCGAAGTAACCAGTTACGTTAGACCATATGCCAAGGCAAAGTCATAGACAGATCTCCCCGCATGATCGGTTAAACGAGAACCAAGCCATTTAACGTGCTGGGTGTTAAAATCACCGAGAATCACGATCTCTGCGGATGGGACCTGTTGTAGCACGGAGTCTGCAGCCATTTGGACGTGGTCGATGAGTCGGTCTGTGTCAGCATTACCGCTATGGGACCTATAGAGGCACCTGTAGGTGGTCGCTGTCTACGCGCAGCCATAGGGTGGACAGGTCCGTACCTTCAAGACTGCCGAGGTGTCGAAAACAGATGTCCTCTCTGACGTATACGCAAACTCCAGCCCTGGGCACAAAGAAGTGTTCTAATTTGTACCCCGGGTAGGAGAGATATGAAGTATCAGCCGGAGAGGACACCTGAGTCTCGGTTAAAAAGAGCAAGGTC